CAAGATGACCACAAAAAGCAACTGTAATAGAGTAGATCCCATATTGGCAAAGAATACTGAAAGCAATTGGACCTCCAATCTCCCATAACTTCACTGTCTCGATCCAGAATACAGCCCACCATTCTTTCAGTCCATTAACGGGTCGATAGTCACCGTCAAGTCCAATGAGCTGCTGCTGATTGTTGGCGCCGGAGAGCAATGGCGCTTCCATTTACTATTGGTAGTATGTTTTTTTGATAAATAAATTAACAGTTCTCCGGGTTTTGCTCCGACCTATATTATATCTCATATCGTAGTACACAAAGCGTTAAAAAGTAAAATAATACAAGTAGTACAAAAAGTTGAAAAGTTATTATACAACAAAAAGACATAACCGTAAATAAGTCAAAATAGTTACAAAATAAATAAAGGGGCGGCAAGAAATACTCCAGATTGGAGTTTTGTACTTGAATTGAGATGCAACACGCCTAGTAGGGCTCTTCAAAACTCGAATCCAAGCTAAAAAAAAAGTTATTGATTTATTGGGTTATTAATTTTGTGATTTGGATAATGGTTTTAATTATTTTTGTTATTGAATTATCGATTTTTAATCGTTTGAGATTTTTTTTAACGAGTTAACCACGACTCAATAGTAAATTAAATAATTATATTTATATTTTTTTGAATGTAAAATCCTTAACTTAGAGTTTTGTGTCCTGTTTTTATTTCTGGTTATCTCCAACTCTTGGTTATTGTACAATGTTTTAGTCTTTATTTTTTAGAGAGATGAAAAATATGTGAACTCATGCGCATGATTCATTTTGAGCAAGATGTCATCTATAAAATCGTTAATCGAATCGATAACAATCAATAATCGATAAGACAATATCTTAATGGTTATATAACGATAAGATAATATCTTAATGGTTATATAACGATTTAGCATACAAATCGATAATCAATAAGTCAAACCGATAAACTTTAAAATCGAATCGGACCGATTAATACTAACCCTAACCGATAGCCCTCTCTTTTTCATTTAGGTTCATCTTGACTTGACATCCTAAAAAAATAAATTAAAAATTTGTTTTATTAAATTAATATTGTTTATAAAATTTTGAACTTTAAATTTGATGATTATATTATTTAGTATAATTATTTGATATTAAGAGTAGAAATAAACAAATATAATATAACTCTCTTAAAATTTTAAATTGCACACGTAAAAAGAAAAGTGTCTAAATAAAATACTACTTAGTCAATAAATTAAAAGGTATAGATCTAAACTTGTCTGGATTGCGGTCCCTAGGAAGGACAATGCCAATTTAAATTAAATATTCCCTCCGTTCTTATTTATATGTCATCATTTTTTGTTTCACGTGTATTAAGAAATTAAGTAAAATTTGTTATTCTACCCTTATTTAATATATTTTGAAGTCAACTTTTCAATCAATGAATATGAATTAATTTATTTTGATTAATTAATTTGACCAATGGAAATAAATTACTCACTTAATTTTTCTATGTTGGTCAAATGTATATTTTCAAGGCTAATACAGTAACTCACAAGGCAAAATAGGAATAATATCATAATTTATGCATTGATTTTATAAAATGACAAATATTATGAATCTACTATTTATAATAAGAGTATAAATACTCCCTCTATCTCAATTCAGGTGACTTACTTTATTTTTTAGTCAGTCCAGAAAAGAATGATACATTTTTATATTAAGTAATAATTTAACTATAAATTGTCTATTTTATCCTTAATGAAATGATTTATTGCTACACAAATTTCTATCATTCATTTTGAACCACAAGTTTTAAAAGTCATTTTTTCTTTCTTAAACTTCGTGTCAAATCAAACTATCTCACATAAAATGGAACAGATAAGTATTAAAGTTGTTTACTGCAGATCATGTAGGACCACTTTGTCCGACGACCAACGCATAACATCAAATTTACATTAAAATGGTGTCAGTATTATTATAATGTAAGCAACTACACAATTTAGTAGAATATATTAAAATTACACGAAAAGGGAATATTCTTCTCTCTTTAATATACAATTTAAGTTAATTTTACTATAAATTATAATTATATAAAAACATATAATCATCACAAAAATGAAAACAAATATATTATATTGTTAATAAATAACATATTGTATTTTAAAGCCAAAACAATAAACATTCATCAGTAATATATTATATTTCATCAATAATTTTACTTTTATTTATATTATCCATTAATATGTATAATGTATAATATTTGATAGCAATTTTTACCATTTAAAAATTTATGATATAAATTATTTTATATTAAATAATTATATATGAAAATAATATGAATTATATAGGGTGAATATGTGGGGAAAAAAAGGGAGAAAGGGTTCGTTTTATACTACGGACTTAATTAAAAACATAAAATTTATAATATGTTAAATAGAAGTTTTGTATAATAAAAATAATAATAAAATAACAAAAAGTGATCTAGTGTTGATAAATAGTGTGAAACTATTAACACATTCAAAAAGCGTAAAAAAATAGTTAGATTGGAGATGATCTAAAAAAACAAAAATTACTCATCCTAATTTATAATAGAGTGTATTTATAATATATCAGAGAAATTATTCACGCTTCGCGCGATTATAAATAATATAAATATAATAATATGTAAAGGCATATAAAAAGAAATTAATCTTTTTTAATAAGGAGTTTCTTCTTGATTCTACCATAAAGTATTCAATGGGTAAATGAGCTAATTAGAATTGGCAAAACTACATTACAGTGAAATTTGTTTATAGGCTGAACCCATTTGAAGCTGTCTTTCATATGACTTATTGAGATTGGCCTTGTGTATTATTTTATTTTTACCTTGTCTTTCAACTTAAGCGACCTTGTGATTGTTTATACTGTATGGAACTCAAATAGACACTGAAAAAGGCGCTAAAATCACATCATTTTTCAAGATACCTTATGATTGATATTATTCTTATTTTGCCTTGTGAGATATTGTATTAGCCTTGAAAATATATAGTTGACATCAATTTTCACTTAGACATCTCAACCAAGCTTTGTTCATTTTAAACACTTTATGTTGAGTTCCGTTGTGTCATTTTGACACTTTTTGCTGACTTGACATATTGTGTGTGCTGCACCCATTTTGAGCGCGTGAGGGGTTTTATTTTGGATTTTTAAAAAAAATTTCCTTTTTCTTCTTCACTCTTTTGCCCTACCACTTATTCCACCTTCCACCATGAAAAATCATGATAAAAACCTTACAAAATATGAAAAAATAAAATAAAAAAACTATCACACTAATTTTAAAAATGTTTATAAAAACAAATTTTTTAAAAATCATCACACTAATTTTGAAAAGATTTTTTAGAACAAGACACATTTTTTTCTTCAAAAAAGTAGAAGAAGAATGTCATATATGATTTTCAAAATCAAATTCACAATAAAAAAAAGAAAAAAAAGAGATAATTGTAAAAAACATCTAAACTATACCATTTTTTTAGTTTCATACCTAAACTATTGCGAATGTGAGTTTCATACCTAAACTATTACTTTTTAGTTTGAGAAACACACCCCTCTCTTTTATACCACTCTCATCATGGTGTGTGTAATACACTTTCTCTTTTATTTAAAAAATTGTCACATCACACTCTACATGGACAAAACATTCAACCTTGACAAAATTAAATAAATTATTAGTATTAGTTAAAATTAAAAAATTATCATCCAAAAAAAATAATATTTCTTATATAAAATAAAATGTAAAATATTTTTTTTACCCCACTCTTTTTTTAAAAAAGAAATTCTACCCACACACCTAACCCTCTGCTTCCAAATTTTATTCTTATTTTGTGTAGATAAATTATATCGAAAATATTTTTTATTTGCTACCGCAAGATTTTTTTATTTATTTATGTTATATTAGGTACACTAGTAGAATTTTTTTCTCTAAAAATATATGTACGTACATATCTAGCACAAAATGAGAAAAACGTAAATTTTTTTTAAAAAAAAATAGGAGCAGAGGGTTAAATAGGATAGGGTAGAATTTTGTTTTTAAATTTTTTTTGGGCGGAGGGGGGGGGGGTTACGTGGAGGAGGTGGTGGAGTGGGGTAAGAAAAATAATTTAAGTTTTTAATTTTTTTTTTTTTATGGATAGTAATATTTTAATCTTTAATTTTTAATTAATATTAATAATTTATTATTTAAAGTTTTGTCAAGGTGGAATATTTTATAAATGTGGAATGTCATGTATCAAGGTTCTTTCAAATAAAAGAGAGAGTGCATTACACACACCATTGAAGCGTGTTTTTCAAACTAAAAAGTGATAGTTTAAGTATGAAACTCACACTTTCAATAATTTAGGTATGAAACTCAAAAAAAAGGGGATAGTTTAGGTATGTTTTTGACACTTATCTCGAAAAAAAAAACTAAAATCTAATGCTTTAAAATTTTTTTTGGAAGAAAGAACCAAAAAATGGCTGTAGGGTTGGGGAGGCAAAAGGGACGTAAGGCAGATGGGGTAGGGGGTGGGGGTGATGTAAGGTGGTGTGGGATGGTAGAAAATAGGTAATTTTCTTTATTTATTTTTGCTGAAAAATTAGTTGCTTTTTAATAATTTTAAAAACTCAAATGCCACATGTTAACTTTTAATTAGTCAACATGTCATGTCATCCGCAAGTGTATGACACACACTTCGTAATTTTAGCTGATTGTCAAAAAGGTGTCAAAATGACACAACGGACCCCTACTTGAGGTATTTAAAATAAATAAAGCCTACTTGAGATATCCAAGTAAAAATTGATGCCAACTTTAGGGAGCTGCCAATGGATTGGGCCTTATTTATAATCTTAATAAACGAAAATTTCCACCTTTTCGCACCTGAAAATAAAAGCTGAAACATCAAATATAATATTAATTCTCCAATCTCATGAACATAAAGTGTATTATAATACTATTTATGAAATGATAAAAACTTCAACTAAAAATTTAAACGTTTCAAAACGTATACGGTTCTGTACAAATAAGAAGGAAACATTGATTTGAGTAGATGTTCTTTCCACTATATATTTTAGTTTTTGAATTCGCAAGTACACTAACTACGAAAAACTTGGTGAAAGCATAGGCAATAACTTAAAGGTAAAAAAAAAGGAATTCCGACAAAAATCACTTCAAATTTTGGTGGGACTAAATAAATAAAAAGGGAATCCTCGCTTGTGGTAGCGCCACATCACCGGGTTGAGGGTTCTATATAGAAGTAACAAAATTGTCGATTGATGACTTCATATTTAAGTCAAGTTATGTTGTGTTAACTGTTATGCATCGATCGTAGTTCTATAGCCATTTAGAGTTTAATTTTCTCCATTTCTGAGTCTTGATCTCCCCATATCCGCATCCGTTCTGTCGTCTGCTCAACCTGCATTTTCATTTTCTTATTACTACTAGAAAACACTCATTTATACTAAATGCAAAGCGTTCTTACTTCATTGATCAGTAAAAAATTGGGAAAAAAGAGATAAGGTATTGAAAATTCTACACTTGTACTTGCTCAACAGAGATGATTTTGACCCAAAATGTCGAACAAGATTTGTTATGGAGTTCAATGGATAAGAAATACACAATAACCATTAGTTGTCGTACCTCTTTATTCCAATCAATTCTATAGAGTACAAATGAGAGTAGCAGTGTTTGCAAAGCAAGTCCAGCTATCATTCCTCCCCATAGTCCCTGCAACATAAAATAGATACTATTAAAACAAATTATAGTATTCATATCAAGTAGTAGTTTTCAACAACAGAAGAAGGAACCAACAAAAGCAAACAGAGATTTAAAGCTAGATGTGTAATTAACTTTGAGAATTAATTACCATGACTCCTAAGTTAGCCACATAACCAAGAACATATCCGAGAGGAATAGCAAAAGCGTAGAAAGAACCCAAATTGATATAAGCCACTAGACCTTGCAACCCACATCCAATAGCAACACCTGCAACCCAAAAAGATCATTGTGAGACTATGGAGGTCTTAACTATAAGAACAGAACAATGTAATTAAAGAACACCACCTGATATCACAGGATGAACACTGCTGAGTAGCATTGCTACTCCAAGAAACTGAGCAAGCTCAGAAACAGATTTGATCAAAACCTCGTTGTCGGTGAAAAGAATGGCAAGATGATTTCTTACTCCCAATACTACAATCATGCAGAGAATCCCAATGAGAAGTGACTGAAATAGTGTGACATAGACACTATATTTGGTCGCCCTGGCATGTCCTAGCCCAAGCTCATTTGAGACCCGAACACTGGGAAAACAACAATACATTAACCACAAACTCAACCAAATGACAACGTAAGGATTTCATTACCTTATGGCAGCGTTGATTCCGACAAAAAACATTTCTTGCCATTCACTAAGAGTTGAACTGAAAGATGACAAAAATTGATATGTTTGATCAGTTGTTAAAGTCAAGCAAATACAAAGTTTAATCTAAACTTGCCTATCCTGATTGAATGTTCGGTTGCATTTTAAGCATTGCAGAATAATAATAATTAAATGGGGGGAAAAAATTAGACACAAGACTTCACCAAATAGAGAGGGATCCCACAGCAGTGACAGGATCTTTGAGATATCCGGCGACGAGAACAATACTCATTGGAAACCAAATTTCTAGGGATAGCATAAGAGCCGACTGAATTGACAGCTTAACAAAGGGCCACATGTCATTGAATGCAGACCAAGACCATCCTTTCCACCCGTCCTTGCACCGAAAAACAACGTAAGCAAATTGAGCTAGCGCGTTGATCCAGCATACAAGATTAAGGGACATAGCTGCCCCAGTTAAACCCCAATTGAATACATAAATGAAGAGCCAAAGGAGAAGAGCATGGAGCAGGAGAGCCACAAAACCAATCCAGGCCAGCACGCCAACTTTACTCTGAGCTTGAAGAAATTTTGAAGTGGGAATAGTGATAGACAGGGAATATAATTCAGGTATGATTAACATGGTGAACTTTCCAGCAACAACAGCAATATCATGATCTTGGCCTAGGAACTTAAGTATAGGAGTGGCGAAAACATAGATTGGTAAGAGAAGGAAGGTACTCAGCAATAAAATTATGATTGAGCGTTGTGTATAAATTCCAAGCATGTGTACTTTCCCAGCTCCAAATGCCTGCCCACAGAGCGTCTCCAAAGCACTACCCATGCCCATCTACAAATTGATCCGATGTAACTATTACTGTAATAGTGGGAAACACTCGTAAAAGGAAAGAGGGGACGAGGACTCACCATGAAGCCGTAACAGAAAGTAGCAATGACAGTTTGAGCAAGGGTAACAGCAGCGAGTTGTGTTGGTCCAAGATGACCACAGAAAACAACAGTGATAGCATAAAGTCCATATTGACACATGATATTCAAAGCAATTGGGCCTCCAATCTCCCATAGCTTTACTGTCTCAATCCAGAATACACCCCACAATTCATTCAAATTCATGCCAGAAATACGCCGGTAGTCACCATTGGAGGCGATAAGATGGTAGCTGGACAAGTCATATTCCAACCCATCAAGATCGCTGGACGAGTCATATTCCAGCGACTGTGATTCCATCACTCTTCACAAATGATCCAAGTGAACAGTTAAGAAAGTCATTAAATTGATAATGTAGCCATTACTATTGAGTAAAATATTAGTAGGTGCGTTTTGCTTGTATATCTTCAACTGGCAGACGGAAATACCCAAATAATAAACAAATGTAAAGGAGATAGATCTACTGATTACGTCAATGGGAAAAAATGTTAATAACTGACAGATGTTATGTGTGCATGTGTCCCACTTCCAAGACACCTTCTAAGAAGAGTTGAAGACATCCCTCAAATAACTTTGTGATATATACAAATTTAATAATACTACTCTGTTTTTTCATCTTCTAATTAAACTTTTCCTTCTCCTTCTTAATAAATCACTGTTGTGTTTCTTCTCCTTATTCGAATGTCTCCGATTTTCATTGTAGATAGTAGAAGAAATTATTGAAGAATGGAAGGCAGATAGCTCACTGTATTGGAACACGAATTCAAGTTTCTCAAATCATAAGTTGATATCAAGCATCAAAATAAAAGACTTACTGAATGAAATTAACACTGTAGACTTGCCTGAGATCTCTTGATGAACTTGTTTCCCCGATAAGTAATGGCCGCTAAATTACATGTTCATTTTTGCATCCAAAGCAAAAATCAACTGTTCTCCTCCTATTCTACATTGAGTATGATCAATAATTTATGTTGTTGAGGAAAACCATAATTTCAAAAGCAAATGTGCCAAAAAATAATAAAACTTACCACAAACACACAAAAATTTCTATTTTCAGTCATCGCTTCTTATATATGCTCTGCAAAAAATCAATACAATATAATTTCTTATATATATATATATATGTTGCTTTGAGAAGAGGGTTTAATGCGGCTGTTGGGATTTTTTCCAGTTAAGGATTGCGACTGCTATTGGTAATTAGTCGTGAGTCGTGATTATTGCAATTTTATTTAATTAAAACATTTTGCTCATGGTTAAAATTACTTTAAAGGCAACAAAAAAAAAAGATGAGATAAAAAGTAATTGGAGAGTGCACGTCTTTTATATATATATATATATATAAAAGATTATCAATTATGGCATTTAAAATATTTACTACTATAATAACAATTTTATAGGATATAACCTAAGCTACGCAATCGAATTTCATTCCAAAATGGTTGCCTATATTTACACCTTTTTAGATGGTTGTTACCCATCATTTTATATTGTATTGCTAGTTTAAATACAATGTTTATTTTGATTGTTATTTAAATTTTATTGTATTGTATCGTTTAAATTCATCGTTAGGTGATGACTAAAAGATCCATTTTATGTAACGACCGATTTAGTGTGATTGCATCCGATGCATCATTACCTTAATATTTTCTTCTCCTTTTAACTTTATTTATCATTTAATAATCATCTTTCATCTTTTATTCTACCTTTTCATAAAGCTCTACCTTATACCTTACTTTTCTTGTAGGTTTATCATTCAAAATATGGGTGTGTGACATTATGTAACGATGGAGAACGATACAATCTATCCAAACATTGTGTTCATTAGAACAATATAATACAATACGATATATATATATATATATATATATTATGAATCAATATGTAACAACCATCCAAACAAAGTGTTAAGAACACCCTTAAAATTTGAAAGCTAATCTATATTTATATCTTTTATATATATTACTCTATAATATAGAAGCGAACAGATAAGCTTAGGCTCAGTCGGTTAATTAATCGATTTGGCCTTCTCCTTTATTTATATTTAATAATAATAATTTCTCTGTTTTAGTTTAGTTATCTTATTTTTTGTTTTAGTATGTTGTGTATTTGTAAATCACTAAATAATAAATACTATAAATTACAATAATTAACAAAATAAAATATATTAAAAATTTAATCAAACTCTCAAAATACAGATAGGATAACATTATATTATTTGAAAATTACATTAATAGTACTATAAATCACAATAATTATCAATTTAAAATTTGATTAATTCTCGAAATTTCACATGTGCCACATAAATTGCGACAAGGAGAGTAATATAAATTATTTGAAAATTACATTAATTAAAAATATTATAAATCATAATAATTAACAACTTAGAATATTTTTAAAAACATATTAAAAATTTGTCTGACTCGCAAAGCTTCCCACGTAAATTGGGACAAAGTGAGTCCTCTAACATATATTATTTAACAATTACATTAAAATATTATAAATCACAATAATTAACAATTTAAAATATTTAAGAATCATATAAAAATGTGATTAACTCTTTAATTCTATCCGTGCCACAAAAAAATTGAGATAAATAAAAAAATATATATTGAGTCAATTCTTGCACCGGCTCTTGTATCTAGTATATTACATCATTCTTAAATAAGAGTTAGATATTTTTATGTTTTAATTTTCAAAAGAAAAAAATTGTTAAAAAATAAATTTCACCAAAAAATATTAAATGTGAAGGTTACTATTTCCATTCCACATGTGATGAGTTATTACTTTTTGGACCCTTAAATATTACTTAAGGAGTAACGTGAAATCGACTCTAAATTAAGTATTAACAAAAGTTACGTGAGGCACCGAGACGTGTGCACTCATTTGACTTTCCCTTTTTCCCGTTGTGTATCCGAGAGAACTATTTTTTTAATTTCGATAATTCGAGATTGATTGTTTATTTTTACTGTTTACTTATTAAAAATAGTTGACATTTTGAAATTAAGATATAATTAATTATTTATTTTCATCTTTATTCTTACTTAATAAATGTGGAAAACTAATATAATGATAAAAAGAGTATATTAAATTAATATCAAAAGGTAAATAAGATAATAGAGGGAGTACTAAATAAAGATTACGAGTATGTTTTAATGGACTTATAGTTTAAGACTTATTTTTTGTTATTCAACTTAAACAAGTATCTAAAATATATTTTTATCTTGCACAAACATTAGTAAAATATTTATAAAATTATTTTAACTTAAAAACATTTAAAATAAGTCAATAAAAAATCTCATAGACTTGTAACTCTTGAACCTAATAGCAACAGACATAAATTTTATCTGGTATAGAAAATCCGAATGATTTATATAATAAATACTCCCTCAGTCGAGAAATGGTTATATATATATACACTATATCTACTAGTATATATATATATATATATATATAATAAAGGAGAATAGTTTGTAATATGGTTAAGCCAAGTGACAAATTAATGAAAAGTCACTTGGCAATTTTAAGACAGAGTTAATAAATATTCCAATATGAAAATACATTAGACTTTTAAAAAAGAACGATTTTTTATTAGCTTAAAAATAGAAACTCATAGGTAGAAGAATCCAAATTGAACTCTTACTATTTCATAAATATGTCATTTTCAAATACTGTAATAGGTAGAAGAATCCTAAATGCACTCATACTATTTCATAAATTTGTCATTTTCAAATATTGTAAAATAAATAAATACATTTGAATTAAATATTAAAATAGAAGATAAGAATATTTTAAAACAAAATTAAAAAATAATTCAAACATGAAAATACATTAGATTTTTCAAATGAACGATTTTTTATTAGATTAAAAATAGAAACTCATAGGTGGAAGAATCCAAAATGAACTCTTATTATCTCATAAATTTGTCATTTTCAAATACTATAATAGGTAGAAGAATCCTAAATGAACTCATCTATTTCATAAATTTGTCATTTTCAAATATTGTAAAATATATTTAAATACATTTGATTTGAATATTAAAATAAAAGAGAGTAGTTTGCAACTTGGTTAAACCAAGTGACAAGCTAATGAAAAGTCACTTGGCAATTTTAAGACAAAGTTATAAGATATCCCAATATGAAAATACATTGGATTTTTAAAAAGAACGATTTTTTATTAGAATAGAAACTCATAGGTAGAAGAATCCTAATTGAACTCTTACTATTTCATAAATTTGTCATTTTCAAATATTGTAATAGGTAGAAAATCCTAAATAAACTCTTACTATTTCATAAATTTATCATTTCCAGATATGTAAAATAAATTTAAATGCATTTGATTTAAATATTAAAATAAAAGATAAGAATATAGAAATATTAATACAATGATAATAATAAGAAGGAGGAGGAGGAGATTCTACGGCCCGTAGAAATTTCTACGACTCGGAGGAATAGAACCCCAAAATTTGACTCTCTGAAGTTTTTCCACGACCTGACAATACGACCCGTAGAATGATTATGTAGTTCACCGACTCAGAAAACTCTGATGTGGGTAGTCTCTGGTAAAACGGTCATAACTTTTTATTCCAAACTCGAAATAAGAGACCTTCAATTTGATAGGTCATGGGCCACCTAATTCATTATTTGCTGAGAGATATGATCGTTTGAAGTTGACCTAAGTTGAATCTTACATCAAAATTTAATCGATAAGGAACCATTCAATTCAACTTTGTGCTAGGGGATTCTAGTGACCTTAATCATATCCAAATTCATTCTCACAGTAATGAATTAACCTTAACACCTACGAACAATTTACGAATCACCCGATACTGCTTGTACTTAAATAAACAATGGTTCAGGTCTTAACTTAAGAAATGACATTCTCAAAAAACATTTACTCCAACATTTCCTTAATAATTTCACATCAACCAAAATTGATCCAAATATTATGAACATGGAACCTTAGTTAAAATCATCTTCTACTTTTTTTTCAAATGTGAGTTTGAGAATAACTTTTCTGTCACGCCCCGAGCCTATACCCTGAACGTGACCGGCACTCAAAAATCATTGCTGGCCACAAATGAATTCTTGGCCTGGCTCAATACTCAGTGGAAGACTTACTCAACAATAAAAGAATTTTAAAAGTAAAGTTTTAACTCAATGTCTCAAAATAGATACTCAGAATATTTTATGCAAAACATTCACTGGCCAAAAAAGGCAACTCAAGTCTTTAAACATTAAACACTAGAAATGAAAAAGACTCATGAACTACTACTGTCTATCTATGAAGCCTCTAATACTATGAGGGATGTCGGGAAAAGGCCCTGAATCATCCTAACAAAACTGAAATAACAAAAATAAATAAGGGATCCTCTAGAAGCAAGGAGGCTCACCAAAACTAACTTGAACTGTTGTGGTATTAACGAAACGCCTGTTGATGACCATGATCTCCTGCATCTACATCATGAAACGATGCAGGCCAAATGACATCAGTACATTGAATGTACGAGCATGTAAGGGGAAACTGAACATAACATAAAAACTTGAACTTTGTAAAAAAGGAAACATAGTCACTCAACTCTACTCAACTCAATACATTATAAAAACAACAATAAAGGTGCAGTTTATATAAAGCATTTAAAATAGTAGATAACAACTCAATGTATTTAAAAATACAATAACAACTCAGTTTGTATGTAAAGATACAAAATAACTCAATCTGAGAGATTCTCTAACCGACAACCATCACTATGAGCTATACCTTGCCGGAGTATAAGACATCTTCAACTAAGTGGATCCACTAAGCTATGCTTAAAAAGCAATAAGGAATCATCTAAAAAGTATGACCTTTTCTACCCACGTTGGCTACATGGTTTATGAGGACTTTGAGTTGTATTAACTCGTCCCCATATCGGTGCTCAGTACTACTCCCATACTATAACTTAGCTCATATGTTTAAAAACATTTCCTCATCCTCAAGCTTTGAGATTATTAGTCAAAAAGTTCTCTTAAAAGAGATTATACTCAATAACTCCTCATGAACTCATTTGGAAATCGATGTTTCCTCTTATTTTAAAAGTAAAAATATTTACTCTT